CACTAGATACTACTTGAGTTGCTTGGCTACGCATGACTATCCTGGTTCCTCTCACCAGGTGAAAGTCAGAGAGCTGAGCCTTCCAGGGATAGATTTCTGGTGCCCATTGCTGCAGATTCCTGAGGCACAACACAGCTGGAATTACAGAAATAGCAGTATATTCAGATGTAGAGAGAGTAGGTTTAATTTTTACATTTCTATCCACAGGTAAGGGCTGTGATCTCTCTCTTGCAGGGAAGTACAAGATCATTTTGCTTCCCACTTCTTTTGTTTAAAGAAAATTCCCATTGTCATTTAACAAAATACAATCCAGACTCAGAGAATTTCAAAGGTCTTGTTCCCTCTCTGAAAATCTTACGCTTGCAAATATCCGCACGACCGTATTTAGCTTGAAAGGGGGAAATCCATACGCACACATTACACTTAAACATACCTTGTCAGTGTAGTTTTTCCTCTCCCCTTAGCATCTGTATGCACGTGAAGGTCCTGGGCTCTGTCTCCTTCTTGATTAATTTTGAAAAAATTCTTCCTCTCCAAGAACAGCCACAGTCACAGAAATGCAGGTTCTCTTCCCAGACAACCTGTAGGTTGCTATTCTCAGTCTAGCGGAAGCAAACGCCGCTGACAGCACTGCTGGGTCCATGCAGTGAGGTGAGAGCAGGTGAGAATCCCCAGAGCGGGGACGGACGAGGTCTGAGACTACTTAGAGGAAAAGAAAGAAAAACCCCAAACCCAGCTCAGAATTTGTTACCCAAACACCACAGGTGATAGCAGCCGGCTGCAGGAAAAAACAGGGAGTGTCATCAGCCATGACCAGTGCCTGACACTGATGGCCAACCTCTAGAGCAGTGAAGGTAAGGGACTGGCAGGACATGGGGTTTGCAGAACGCCAGAACTTTGGCTGCATTCACGGAACACACTCCAAAGGCTGGCCTTGAGACCCCTGAGGGAATCAGGGCAGAGTTTTTGGGGCAAGCCAGGTGTGCTCAGCATTGGCCTGACGTGAGTACCTAAGGGAAGCGCGATCCTTTCTTGTGGACCTTTTGTGGCTGGCAGTCTCTGTCCTTTGCTGCACAAACCCCTCTTGCGGCCTCTACAGCTACCGGTTCCACGTAAGGGAGTCTTTCTGACCACTCGCATTTCCCTCCCGCCCTGAATCTAAAACGTCTTTGGTGGTTACTCCTTCTTCCATGCCTGAAAATGACGCCGACTACCAGGTGCCTTGCTGCAACGGAGCTTTGCTCGTGCATGACCCGGCAGTGAGGGAGAATGTGGGCGTAGATGCTGCTGCTGGTGTGTCTTTGGTCTGAGGAGGAGCTGCCAGCGGTCCAGGGGCAGTGCTGGCAGCTACAGGTCCCGGAGAGGTTGTGGCAGGCAAGCTGCGAGACCCCGTGTGGTGTGAAAACCCACGCCTACCTGCCGTACCTATATATAGATATGTATTTCAGGTATGGTGATATAAACACCATATAAACCTGCTTTCTGGCTATGTTGCATGGCCAGGAGAGTGGGTGTGAGCTGAGCTGACCCCGGGATCTAACACAAAACCCTGCTCACTGTTCCCAAACATTCAACATAATGGGGGAAATGAACCCTACTTGTCTGAAGTAAGTGCAGTAAAACACGGAACTAATGCTACTAAGCAAAAATAGAGATTTTTAAAAATAGCTGTTACTCCGCGATACGCTCTCTGCTGAGCAGCGTTCAGAGGTGGAGCACACATGCAGCACTACTAAGAAGGTGTAAACAAGGCCATTTGAACATCGCTTTGCACAGCCAGGCCCAACTGGCATGTCCGGTTTCACGGACGGATGGAGTTTCTCAATGGTCCCCTGTTTTAATTGTCTTCTGACATCCGGATCTCATCTCTAATCAGACTTATCTTTACCCCAAGACTTCTGCAATCAACCAAATTAAGTGCCTTTACTGGCACCTGCAGTTCTGCAGAGAATCAAGGTCTGCAACACTTTTCCACTCCTCTCCCCGTGCGGTATTTCCGGGAAAGGTTTTGGTTTTGACTTCTGAATGCCGTGTTCACAGAGTGCGGCTCAGCAGCCACTTCAGTGCAGAACACTGAAGAATGAACTGAGGTTTGGCCCCTTATTGGAGGTAAACCTGAAGTCAATCCCTAACTGGTAGAAAAATGAGCAGAAATCAGAAACCTTTCACAACTGACAACTGAAAAGACACATCCCAAAATACTGATCTTTAATTGACGCATTGTTCATTCTTGCAGGGTTCTCTTCCAAGGAGTTACCCTGGGGATGCCACCGATAGCATTAAACAAATACTTATTTGTGTTACATCTGGTTTAGCCCTTTATTTATTTATATTTTACCTGAAAAATGTGTTTTCTTAGAGACCTTATAACAGCATTTCTGTGTAATCAGTTCATTTTGTGTCTCTCCTGGATATATGAGCCAGGAAAAGGTATCCCCAGTCTGTAACAGACAGATTAATTCGCATCTCACTTTGTCCACATAGAAAAATGCAATTTCTGTTTCATTGAGGCATATGGATTATGAACAAGACACTCCAAAAACTTAACTATCCAGACGGAGGTATACTTACAAAAATCTTTTATGTCAAAGTCAGGATTTCACAACATAACACGCTAATGCAAAATCCAGTAGCACCTGAAAGATTAAGGTAGCTGCTGCTATCACTTGCACATACTTGAAAAAGATTTAAGAAAAAAAAATGAAAAGGTACATTCTCCAGAGAACAGCAAGTGTGTTTCAAAATAAAAAACTGTACTCTTTTGATTTTTCCTTTTTTTTTTTTTTTTTGGGTATTTCTGTTAGGTTTTTTTTTTTGGTAATGCTTTTTGCCTTCTTTTTTACAAGACTGTAGTTGCCATATACAACAAGTTACATGCAATGTGACTGGTATCCCCTCCAGTGAAAGTTCATGGTCATGTTTTCAGGCTGTAGCACACAACACTCTTTGCCCATATACATATTTCCATAGTTTCATCAAAGATGGATACAATGGATAATTCCTGTCTCTGGGAAAGTAATGTTTCAAACAGGCAAACTGTTGTCTTAAAGCAGAAGTGCAGGGGCTACTCTAGGTAGAGCCACCCAAGTATGAACTTTAGATCACAATTTCTAAACACTCGTCTACTGTACAGAAACAATAAAAATAGTCTTAGCAATAGGATTTTATTTATATGTGCACGTATGTCCACCTTATCCCATATTCATGTTTGGCAACTGTTTGGGAATTCAAAGGTGCAGCCCTCAGTAGTCGTATTATAAAAAAAAAAACCCAAAACCTAAAACCAAAAAGAGAGAAACTAAGTGCATCTGCTCTATGAGAAAAGAAATTCTCAAATATCAATTTCCAATTTTAAATTTAATTTCAATAGGAAAATATTAAAAATGTGCACATCTAAAGTTTTCCATGTTCTGTATATACATATGTGTGTGTACGTATACATAGAAATACTTGTGTACCACACATATTCACAAAATTTAAGTGGAAATATTTCTGTCCACTATTTTCCCACATGTAAATGACATCATATCTTTAAAAATGTCAATAATATATCATTAAAAATAATATTACACTTATTCCATCATCAACTTTCTGTGTTTTTATTCTTTCTTCATCCTTATTATGTCCATTGAGCATTAACAGGCCAGACTCTCCCTGCACTTCCACAGATGTTATGTCAACTGAATGTTGCACATCAAGGACACATCTGGTTTACAGCAGCTCAAGTGACAGGAGAATCAGGCCCAAAAATCCCCAGGTAAAGTAAAAACTAGTTATATCTGCTCATCTGGACCTGATAAAGATATACACACCATCCTCTAAAATCCACTCAATGAAAAACATGTATCAGCACGAAATTTTCAACCAGCAGCACGCTGAACCAAGCTCCCCCCACCCCTTTCATGAATAAAACAGGTGAGAAAATACCCTAAAATATGGAGAAAACTTAAACATTGTGTACATTACATACAGTATAATACATGACGGTTTAGCATTTGACCTAAACCATTTTCCTGACTAGTCAGGTGAGACCTGATAAATTACTGGTAAAGAAAAAAAAAGCAGTATTTTAGAAATAAAGCATGTATTTCTAATATAAATGAGAACCTGTGTGTATTACGTGATACATACACACGGTACACACGTGAGAACAAACTTGTCTTTTCTAGTTTTGAATAGCAGTCTCTAAGTGGAGAAAATCATGTTGTACGAATTTAATAAGCAGCTAGATTGCATGTTCAACATTCAAATTAATTTGGGGAGCAAACAAAGGTCCGTGCATTTTCCGACTCTGAAGTCTGACACTCATTCATACATTTTATAAAAGCCCTCTTCAACATTACAAGCAGTTTATGGCAAGAATGTACTTTGATGCAAGACATATGACACTTGGCTTACCTTTTCAAAGAGTTTGGTTTGGTTTTTTTTTTTTTTAAATAAATCTATTATATAAAGAAATGTGTGTTTGCCAAAAGTCTGTTAAAATTACATCAAAACAACTTTAAAACCTGCTCACTGAGGATAAGTGAATTCAATTTCCTGTTTTTAAACATTTAGTTAACAGTTCAGAATATTGCCTGGTGTAGTTTCAATAAAGATGTGATATGAAGACCCATAAAAGAGTAAACATGTCTCCATTTCAATTTGCTATGACAACCAAACTTCTAGAAACAGCTTTCTTGGCTGGACAATTTCAGCGTACGTGCAATCCCTTGCAATATCTCTATGTCGTTAATGCACTCTGTAATAAAACAGTGCTCCCCATAAGCCATTCATCGTTCAGAAAACCTGAAATTCGTGTGACATTCTGAAAAAGTCTCCTGCAGAACAGGTTAACAGTTATTTGCACATACATATCCGATATATGCATCGAGGCCAGAAAACAAACAACTGGCTATTCCTCGTTATCTGTGCATGTCAAATCTTACAGTTAAAATTCTCAAGGTGGGGGGGGGGTTGCCTTTTTTTTTCTTTTTCCTGGGGGACTCACCTTCCATCATTGGTTGGCTTCAAAATATGGTTAAGTGGAAGATAGCATCTCACTGTAACTACATGGAATTCATATGAAAAAGTAAACCTTACATTGGACAATATTGTAGAACACCAGAGTAAGCTCCATAAAGAAATAAGGTATCTTCCAGTAGATATATATATATAAAAAAACCGAAAAACAACCAACCAACCAACCAAAAAAATCCCCAAAAGGAAGAACTTTATACAAGCAGTTATAGTAACTTTGTTTCAATTAAAGATGCAACTCTCTCTCACTCCAGGCAAGAATAAATTGGTAATGGCACTGCTGCTCCACAGTGCAACATATCCTGAGAAATTATTAAGAACAACAAAATACAGGGCTGTCATCACTAAGTTCTTGCACAAAACACAGCAATTAAATATCTTAAATAAATAAAACAGCAGATAACCTATACTGTGTCTATCACAAAAAGGGGATGTGACCTGGGACACTGCTAATTCTTCCATCGCTGATAATTAAAAAAGGATTGCATTCGACTACTGTTAATATCTTTCAAGTTATCTATGGCCAATAATGTACAAGGAGGTAATTTGTATTTCAAGTTTTTTTGTTTGTTCGTTTGTTTTTGTTTTTTTTCTTCAACTAGCTACAAGCTGAGTTCTAAATTTTACATTGAAATACGACTCAAATTTAAAACAAGCCCTCTCAGAGGAGCATTTTCTAATTTTGTGCAACTTTGATGCAGACCCCAACACAGTCCTATGAAGAGAGATAGTGCATCTTTAAGCTGATTGGCACTGAGATCCTATTTTCTTTAGCTGCATTCTATTAGCTTGGCCAAGTTATCTCTTAACTCTGTGAGTTCAAATATTTTTCCATCAAGAATTTCTAAGAGTGTCTTCAAGTTATTGCGAAAAGCTTCTTGCTCATTCTGACTTTTCTCCAGACGTTGCTCTAGATCAGACAGCTGGCCTTCCAGGTCTTTGTTTCGAATTTCTACTTCCTTCAGAGAAAATACACAACATGTTAATGTGTTGTCTGCAAACAGAAAGCCGTCTAACCTCCCGCTGGTATTTGTGGTCTATTTCTGTCATCTGCTTTTTTAAAACAATTCGTCACCCTTTATGGCTTCCATGAAGCCAAAACCGGAACCCAGATTGTTATTACGATTGCGTATGTACCGCCACTTCCTCCGCTTTCTCAGTAATTCAGCTGAAGGACAGAAACTTTTTGGGGGGATAAAATTTAGTCAGTGAACAACTTATTCAGGTAAGTTATTGCTTCTATCATTCAGAAATGTGCCACCTACCAAAAACAGCTTCTCAAAGGTTTACCCAAGATTGAGTGTTCCCTGATTTAGACTATGTGCACTGCCCCAGGACCTGGTCCCCACGAAATGGTCTTACACATCCTGCATACTGCCTTTTGGATGGAGGGTACTACCTTATTCCTGACCCACACTATAGGCCTTTTCACCCTGAAATTTAAGACAGAAACGTAAACTAACAAGACTGATGTCAAGGTGACGCTGACTATAACAAATTAAAGCCGTCAAGCGCAAGCTAATGTCTTTTCTCACGACACGGTGCCCCAGAGCACCCCCCTGCAAGCCCCACGGCAGCGCAGCTGTGGGAGCAGGGAATGCGCGGGAGCCACCAGTGCCGTACGGACAAGCTGTTCCCATGCCGCGAGCGGAAAGACGAAGCGGCGGCATGTTATGCACAGCTGAGGGGATCTGACCCTGAGCAAGCTCAGCTCCCCTTCACAGGGAAGAGCAGCCCCCTCGCGCCAGCCTGCCGGGACCCCTCACGGCTCCGGCTCGCACCTGACGGGGCGGGAGGTCACGGCTGCTCGGCTCTGCGCAAACCGGACGCCCTCTCTTCTGCCCTTCAGGGTATTGGGTCTGGCTGAGGCGGAGTCAGTTCCCCCCACAGCAGCCCTCGCAGCGCTGTGACTGGGATCGGTACCTAGAAAGGTGTTGGTAACGCTCCGGTGTTTTGGGTGCTGCGGAGCTGTGCTCATACAGCATCCAGGCTGTCTCTCCAGCATTTCCCCCTTTTAACCCCAGCAGGCTGGGGGTGGGCAAGTCTTGGGAGGGGACACAGCCGGGACAGCTGGCCCAAACCGGGCAAAAGGATATTCCATATCATGTGATGTCTTCTCAGCAATAAAAGCTAAGAAAAGGAGAAAGAATGGGGGAATTTGTTATTTATGACATTTGCCTTCCAGAGAAACCGCCTTGCTTCCCAGGAAGCGGCTGGACATTGCCTGCTGATGGGAAGTACAGAATAAATCCTTTTGTTTTCCCTTTCTTCCGCACACAGCCTTTAGTTTTGCTTCATTAAATGGCCCCTGCCTTGACCCAGGAGATTTTTTTCCTTCCATCTTATTTTCTCCGCCCCCCAGCCCAATCCTGCTGAGGAGGGGAGTGATGGAGCGGCTTTGTGGGCGTTTTTTTTTCGACCACCACAAGCAGTTGCGTGGGTCTGGAATGGCATTATTTATTGCGTTCGTTGCCCGTCTCATAAATTCATGCTAGGTTTTTACAGTTCAGTTACGAAAAGCACTTTCAAAGGCAGCACAGGGACCATGTATTTAGCGCACCCTACACCCTGTGCCACCATTCTCTGGAGAAGTGCACAGCAAACGCGTATTTACATACATTAACATGTTTTTCAACGGTGGCTGGGTGTCCCAACGCTTTCCCAGGCCTGCTCCGACTTCTCACAACAACTACTTTCACGCAGCCACAGGGAGGGCGATTTGGCAGCAGTCACTGCTCTCGGCATGAGCAACTCCTCCTCCTGCCCTCCCACTCTCCCACTGCTTCTGTGTCGTCGCCCTCAAAGCCAACAAATACATTCATGTTTACATCGGAGAGAACTCAGCTGAACACAAGAAACTACCAGAACCTTACGGAATTTGGGCAGCCAAGAATAACAGGTATAAAATGGCAGTCAAAGCCCATGGCCCAAGACACGTTTCCACCCGCGAGGGGTCGGATGGCAGCATCAATCGGCCGCTGCATCCCTGGCCAGAGGAGGGATGGGGTGATGTGGCCAGTGCTCGGTGTCAGCTCCCAGCCTCCGCGGCAGGGGAGAGCTCTGGGACCCCCAGCAGTGGTGCGGGTGAGAAAGGCAGAGCCTCGGGAACATGGTCTCCTCAGAACTGTCACTGCTTGTGCAGCCAAGGGTTACGTCCAAGCTGAACTGACTTCTTGTTTGTAAACGGGCAAATTAAAAATTCCAGTTTCGGGCCCTGGTCTTGAACAGAACAGCCGAGAGTAGGAATTACCCCTTGCCACCCGGACCAAGAGAAGAACTAGTTTAATCTGTTTAACAGTGAACAACACATTTGCCAAACCACTGAGGGAAGGTAACTGAAAAGAGTATTTGTAGAAACAATATAAATGAAAATACATACATGCTTGTGTAATGATTAGCTACCCCACCACTGCTATCAACCAACAAGCTGACACTAACCCAGCATACCCCCTGAAGGCTCTCCTCCTCTGAGCCTACTCCTGCCCTCCAAACCGAGAACTCACAAGAACTACCTGGTGTAGTGACTGCACAGGTTAAGACCTCTGCGGCCAAGTGACTGCAGTAGAGGACAAAAAGGGAAATTCAAGGTCCTCTCAGCTCTGCAGGAATGAGGTAGTCTGTCCTTCAGCTTGCACAAAGCTGACTGCTATTTTTCCATAATTTGCTCATGCATCCTGCTTCTCCTGTCACTGGTCCTCTTCTACTCACCACACGTGTGCGCTGTAGGAAGTCTCCTTGCCCCTGCTCTTACCCCAGAGATAATTCATTTCTGTAAGCAGGCAAGCCAGTGATGAAAGGGAACACTTTGGGACAAATCCATAGATACATATGCGGTTTTCTTTTGTGATATCTGGGCCTGAAGAGCATCCCACTGGCCTGTATCAAGCATTGACAATCATCTTTCAGGACCTCCTCAGAAGGTCTTAAACTGGGAGCTTGTTCTGCTGTGAGCTGTTAGGATGGGAGCACCCAGGTAAAACCGAAAGCTTGATGTTCGATGGAGGAACTTCATCCATGTTCAGCAAAAGGCTAACTCTCTGCTGCTAGTCCTTGCCCTGTATGTCTCTAAATCAGAAGAGCTCCCTTCTTTAGTTTAAACTTCCAGCTTGCCTATTTTATTGTCATGGTTATAATCCATTCTTGACATTGCTTTCCTAATCCATATACATTTAGATTCCCAAACATTTCTTCAGGTATATCTTCTCCCACACTTCTGTTTCCCTTACCTTATGCTTAACATATATAATGATGTATGGGAAGTAGAACTAACTGAAAAATGCCAGGAGCTGTTGCTTTCAATTTCCGGAAAATGCTTCCTCTCAGATTTTACATCTGATCCACACAAATATTTACCCTAGATTAGCATTAATGATTTTTGCAATAGTATTGCATTACAAGATCATGTCCAGCTCATGTGCAGTTTCCTTTTACAAATCAGTGTACCTCAAAACTGTTTCTTCTTGAGGGGAAGAAGTGGAGAGGTGTCTGTGTAATGTAATCTATTCCCCCAGCTGTGTCATTTCATTTGTTTGTAGTTAATCTCATTTAACGATAAACTGACTCTTCTAATACTCTCAGGCCCTTTGCAAGATGTAATTTACACTGCTTTTATCAAGCTCTTCATACAAGCGGACATCATCATTTCTCATACATTGTTTTCTTTCAGAAAAGAAATAAATTATTAACAAGACATGTCTGTTGTTTGCACTGTGATAATCTTTTCTGGAGTTCAGTGCAAGGATACGAATGAAGTATCCAAGCCACATGCAACAGCTATATTTAGGAACCAGTCATAGTAATAAAGATATCCTGACTTATTGTGAGAGTCACACTGATCGTGACTCATTGACATGTCTTCCCTACCTTGCTAATGGAATTAATAAGTAACAAGGGGCTGATACTTACCCTGCACAGCGATAACATACTGCTCTTCACTGGAATTTACCAATGATGGACTTCTAATTCACTCCCTGGTATGTTTGTGTCAGAAATGCAATACACCTTGACATAGTAATTTCTTTGTATAGCATCTTTCACACAGGCTATATTCCAAAATAGTTGAGAGTTACATAATCCACTTGCAAGCGCAAGAAGGAAAAAATAAAGCAGAAGAAAAGAAGACCGAGACTAACAGATAGGGACCCTGGAGACCATCACCCTGTCAACAGACGATGAGTCAAGCAAGGGAACAGATATTAGATGGTTAGTCTGGAGCTACAGAAGAACATACCATTTCACTGACGTCACAGATGAAGGGTGAAGTGGCTCAGTGAAGGCCAGTATAATCAAAGCAGGACGATTATAGCAAAGCAGAGACTCAGGATCTTTTAGATGGGCTGCATCAGGTCAGTGATAAGCTTTAAGCTTAAGAAAGGCAACTTTTAATTCAGCTCCTAACAAACTTTAAATTTACTTGAATAGAACCACACAGAGTTATTGCCCACAACGTAACATATGGACACATATGCACAATATATCCATTTGGTGACTAAAGATGTAAATATACCAAAAGGAAGATAGTGCCTTTATCAAGTACAAATTTCAATACCTTTCATTTTTCACTAGTCTCCCGTAATTCTGCTTGCTAAGGATAGCTGATTTCTGGCTCATTATTACTTTTCATATGACCTTAAAGTGAAACTATTACATATGCTACTATTAGAACAATTTCCAAATTTCATCGTAATCTCCATTTTGAGTCTCCCAGATAAGGTTCTTTGCTCCTGAAAACTCCCATTTTCAGTCTAAGGCCAGCAACCATTTTTGGAATAGCGGAGCAGGTAAGCGGAGGTGTATTCAGAACGATTTGAAAGATTGTTTAAAGTAATAACAAACTTTCTTCAAACAATTTGACTTAAGAATGGAGGAAAATTAATAAACTCATTTTGTTCTTATGTGGTTTATTCTGTATGCGATGCAAGGAAGTTCCAATTAATGTAATGCATTTCAAAGAGTACCTGCTTAATGATTTTTAAGCTGTGGCTAGTCTGATGTGGCTCGCTTTCAGTGTGATGTAGTTCAAGTCACAGAACAGCGAGGGTCATTTTTCAGCCATTTGGATTTGCCTGAGCTTCCAACCCTATCAAAACTCCAAAGTCTGAATCCAGAGTTTAACCCACCTAAGCTTTGGGCCAGTCTCATTCAGAAGGCAGGTTTCACAAGGGAGGTGCATATCTGCTGGCTGGTCAGCCCAGTGACAGAAAGACGGGCCCAGACATAGCAAGGGAGGGTGATCCTGAGGGCACGCCGACTCTGGTAGGCTGAGGTATGTGGCTTTACAGACAGTAAAGAAACAACCCCAGAAAATCCAGTACAAACAAAATGATTCTAAATACTTCTAAGAAAATGTCAAAGTGTGCTTTTAATGTCTATACTATGCCAAAACGTTCTAACCTTTACTTTCTTAGGGCACATTTAAAAGCTGCACACGAACCCATCCTGACCCGGTGATCCACAGCCTGACAGTTTCAGTGGCACACAAGGCCAACAGGGAGACATCGCCATGAAAATGAGACCCGAACTGCCCAGAACATGTATCACTGAAGGACATCTACTAGTCTGAGAGGACCCTGTGGAATCATAAATTTGTGTCTATTCCCTTGGGCAAAAATAGCAACTTACAGGAGGCAGGTATTTTGATACAAATTCCTAAGGATCATCCCAACCCACCACTTTGCAATGCAGTCTATCGTACACACTTATCTGGCACCCTCAGTGCATACAGCACAAGTTGCTGATGTGAGGAGCTCACCTGATGATCATTTTTCACTTCTCTATAAATTCAGATCATGAACTATAGCTCACCTGTAACTTCTGGGTCAGAGAATCCCGCTGTGCCTGGAGCTCTCTGGCATTGTCGATTTCTTGTTTCAGTCCTTCTATTTCCTAAAGGGAGAAGAAACAACCTTGCTAGCAAAATGATAGCAAAACTGGCAGTTGGCTACTGCCCACTGCAAGCACATCAGTCAAGCCCTGCTCTCAACACTCCGGAATCACAGTCCCGAAACAGCAACTCCATTGTGAATAAACAACAATATGGATAAGCATTTTCTTTTATAAATATACAAGTTTTCTTCTCCCACACAAAAGATATGAAATATTTTTTTCCTGGAAAATTAAGGTCCTTGTAATTAGAGAAACAATTTTTATACTTTAAATTCTATTAGAATCTATATTTCTCCATGTTTTCAAGAATAAAATTCAATTTTCATCTGTGAGCTGTTTATTATGTCACTAGCAGCAGGGCTGAACATCAAGAAATTGCCTGCCTTGACCACTGATTTCTGTAAAAAGAGAGTGCAAAAGAAATGGTATCTTTAATTTAGCATAAGGAAGTAATAAAGTATAAAAATAGCAAATAATGAATGGAAGAAAAATGTTTTCTTAGCTTACTTTCAGGAGACAAGAATAGAAACAGTTAATGACAGTAAAAGGTATCAAACTTAAAACTATTAAGTACTTTTCTGTGGAAGGGCATATTCACTTCCCAGAACCCCTTTCAGAACTATCTCTTTGAAGCCAACAGCTCAGCATAATTCAAAAGTGCATGCGCACAAAAATCGGAAACATTACCAAACCGAGGCTAATCTCTTAAGTATGAGGGAGTTTGGAAAAAGCTTTGTTCCATTTTGGGAGGTTATTAGGTAACGACTGTGCCTCTCCTGCATCCCTCTTGGAAACACCAAACAGTTGCCCTGATGGAGGCAAGATCCTGCAAGACACACTGCCCCTCCGAACATGCACACCCTGCCCACTGCATCTGTCACGCAGGGCTCACGGGATCTGGCCTTACACAGGGCAAACAATCCTTCATACACGGCTTCTCCCACCTCCTTCCACCCATCCATAAGGAGACAACTCTCGATCATTCTGTGGCACAAATCTGCTTTCCTCTAGGACCTGTGCCAGTGCAGGTGTTGCTCCAACTCTTTATTTTCTTGCTGCTGGTTCAGCTCAAAGCAAATGGCACAGTAAATATCGTCAAGTTTCTGGCTGGGGGCCTGGCATGTGTTTAAGGAAAGGGCTGATCTTGGGGGTCATAAAAGTCAGGTATATTCGCATAGCCCGAAAAACAGATTGGCCTGAAAAAGGCATTGATCTATTGCTTGTACCAAACACTACTCTCCAGAAAAGGGAACGCATGCTTACGATGGCTTCCCTTCTCAGTCCATCTGGACTGCATCGATGGGATGGCTGCTCTGTGGAAACCACTTAGGACTTACTTTTACAAAAAGAGATGCCTGGTAAAAGGAAACAGGAAAACTTGATACTTTTTGTTGTTGTACAGATACCCAGCTCTACAATGGACTGATGTAATTATACATACAGAAAAATACTAATCAAAGAAGCTGAAAAACAAGTTTACTTCGTAACATCTATAAGAAATGACAAAGTATTTACCAGCCGTCACAAGCTTAATATTGAAAGCGTTTAGAAATGACACAACACAAAATCCAAGAATCAGTGTTAGCAAATACCTCTTCTTTTTTCTTCAGCGTAGACTCTAACTCCTGTATTGTCTGGTTTAATTCTGTTTTATGTGTGTGGACAGCATTGGCTTGACTGCTCACACACTCTAGCTCAGTCACCTGTTGAATTAAGTAGAAGCACATATACAGAATTAATTTCAACAAATTCAAGGTACTATTACTTCTTTGTATCAGTAGCTGCATTTGAAATATACCCTTAGTTCTGGGTGACTTACGTTGATTAAAATGGGGATGGTATTCTTATGAGGTTAGCATAAAATTCCTTATCGAATTGGTTAGCATAAAATGGTTGCTATGACTTCTCGGAAAGAATCAGTTTAATATATTGCAGGCTGACAAGAACATTAATTAAAAGTTGTACTTACTAATTATTGAAAATTTTATTAAATAAGCTGAATTAGCATTTCAGAAATACTAATGGCTAATGATTAAACACAGATCTGTCTGTGTAACTGACCTGTCCATCTGACACCTTTTAATGAACCATCTTAATCAACTAAGCCATAACGCTCACCCACTTCCTAGCAAGCCAATTAACATTTCACAGCCTCAATTTCTGACTCAGCATCAACAGTGTAATAGCAGACGGTCAGCCACCAATGTCCAGCTGCCAACTTCTTACTACCTCTAGGTTCGGATCTCAGTCACAAAGCCAACAGCTAATGGCACAATTTGGATTTGCACAGTTCCTCTTTATTGGCAGACAGCCAACACTCTCCATCTGCCCTTGGAGAAGTTAAGATACCTGGCAGTAGCATGCCCTTTTTATTTTATTTTTCAATCAGAGATGTGAATATCCTGACATTTACAAATAAACAGTTGTCAAAAAATAGCTCTGCACTGAAGAAATAAAATTGAAATGCACTACTCTACACAGAAAAGCCTTTGTTCATGTACCTCTCAAATTACAGATCAAAATATTAGAGAAGTCTCATGCTGCACGTCTGTGTGGATGTGTGCACTAGAACATTTTTGTTTGATAACAAAAACAAACTGTTAAAATATTAAAAATACTATTTAAAACCTAAAATCTCTTTTTCTTTTTCCCAGAAGATATGTGCCTGTCAGTCTTAGGATGCAGTCCTCAACAGAGCTGCACCACCTGCGTACAGAAACTAACAAATCTAGCCCAAAAGCTCCCTTGAACAAAGTGTTACCCAATTCTGCAACATAAACCTTTAGATCAGCGCACAACTTCCTTGGAGAAGTAGCCTTTAGACAGAGGACAGGTATTCTCCAGCACAATTTTATTTCTTAGATAAAAGAACATCTCAAGGAATCAACGTTGGTGCCCTCCAGCACCAATACAGTCTAGCTAGTGAAGCCATTGTGATGCCAGTAGTTTCAGACTCTCAAATATTTGTAGGCTGAAATGGTCGACTACTGAGTGCAGAGAGAAGTCAAAGGAAAGACAAGATGAAAACACAAGAAAATTAAAACAAAATCCCGATCAAAAACCCTCTGCAACAGCCATGATGAGTTTAGTTTCTTCTACTGGAAAACCGTGATTAGACTTTTTTGCACATCAGGCTTATAAACAGAGAATTACAGCAAATTCTGGGGAGGCATAAGGGGAATGAAGGATGAGGATATAGCTTGGTAACACAACACCCTGCACCTCACCCCGAAGAACTACCTTATTTGCTGGAATTGTCCCAGAAGAAGTATCAGCCAGCTCTCATGGCAAAAAGTAATAGCAGTTTTATATGCCACTGGGTGTTCCAAGTGAAGCCTTAGAAAATTTTCTCTATTTCCTTCAATTACACGAAAACATATCTATTTAGATTCCTTGTGACTGCTACCAGTTTTGACTGTTACGGTGCTCACCACTACAATTACACAAACACAAAAAAGCAGAATTGGAACACACTGACTCAGAGAAACCTATGCCTACACTGTGCCTGAACTAACATCTAGGTACAGCAAGAATCACAGAGGCACAGGGTTATCTGGGCTGGAAGAGGACCCTCGTGGTCAATCGGTTGAGGCCCACTGCTCAAAACAGGGCCAGTTTTGAAGTCATGTGTTGTTGCTCAGGGTTTTGCTCAGTCAAGAACCCTTCACTATCTATTAGAGCTGCCACTGTTTTACACAGCTTCCTGTATTTCTGACACTGAGGGTTTCTGCAGAGTTCTAGCTCATTCCTAAGTTTTGCTGGAGCTGTGAAACTCGCTCACATCACCCACCTATAACCCTTCTGATGTTTATATCTTCTTAAACATTTCCAAGCTCTTCTGCTGAACTGAGTCTTGAATTGGAGCTGGAAGCCTCTGTGAACCCAGGGCTAGGGCTGTTAGGGGAACTCAGTGTCAGGCCCTCTCCCACCGCTGTGAAAGACAGATGCTTTGTATCACAACCTCTCAGAAGGTCGACCTCTCTTTAAAAGCTGCTGGGCTCAGCAATACCCACTGGCTCTTACCAAGCATGGGTACAGTGAATACTCAACGGTATAAGGTTCAATAAGGCAAAGTGTAGAGTTGGTCACAACACCCTCATACAATGCTTCAGGCTTGGGGATGAGCAGCTGAAAAGCAGACTGGCAGAAAAGGACCTGGGGGTGTTGGTTGACAGCCGGCTGACTATGAGCCAGCAGTGTGCCCAGGTGGCCAAGAAGGTCAATGGCATCCTGGTCTGCATCAGGAACAGTGTGACCAGCAGGACTAGGGAAGTGGTCGTCCCCTAGACTCGGCCCTGGTGAGGCTGCTCCTCAAATCTTGTGTTCAGTTTTGGGGCTCTCACTGCAAGACAGACATTGAGGTACTGGAGGATGTCCAGCGAAGGGCAACAGAGATGGTGGTGGTATTAACAGTGTTGCATTTGAAGATCTTTAAGGTTTTTCCAACCTAAAAGGCTTTTCCAACCTAAAAGATTCTATGATCCTCATTTACACAAAGTGTAGGAACCTCAAATGGAGAGAAAGAAGAAAACCCAGCCCCCAAACCACCTCTGTCCTAGCACATAGTGCCTTGGAAGCAAGTGTGCAGAGGTGTCTCATTCTGTGGCTAAGGAAGTGCTTGGACCCCCACTGTTCTCCACACAGCTTCCTCTGGGCTGGTACACACAGCAAGGATGCATGTGTTGGTGCAAACCTGGAATCCAAAGAGGCTTGTGGACCAAACTGGGTCAGATGAAATGTTACTGCTCTCGGCTGCATGTATTGCTGTTGGTTGAAAACACCTCAGGGAACAGCCCTGCCAGCTGCACGGCTCATGTGGACACTCCCCAGTACACTCTGGTCCATACAAACCCAGAACACCTACTGAAATTGCTTATGCAAGCACAGCTAATTTCACTTGAGCAGAGCAGGGAGTGCTCTCACAAACCTTGCCAACAGAAGTAACTCCTGTCAGGAGGGCGATTAATTACCAGCAGTAAAGGGGCTGTGATGTCTCACTCTGGTCCAGCTTTTCTCTGAGCAAATGTCCATCTTTTACTGCTTATGCAAGAAAAGAATGCATTGTTGAACTGTTTTGTTTACTGTTTTTTGAAAAATCAGTAGGTTGGAAAAGAAGAGCAAATTCAATTAAAAATATGGGTTTACTTTAATCGCAGTCTTATTCAAATGCACATTCCTACAGAGATCTGAAAAGATGTCAAATACACTCATGGTATTATCTTCTTGAATGTACCTATAAAAAAGAAAACTGTATTGTGACCCTTTCAAAAAAAATCTGTACAGTAAGATGGGCTGGAAAAATGATGTGATATATAGAATATGCAATTGAAAGCAGAAGTAACAAAAGATAAAGCTCTAGGCAAAAATCTGGATAGCATTTACTTGCTCTATTTCCTTGTTTTAAATTGAATTCATTTTTCTCATGACCAGTGGTCCAAAAATCATTAAAAATAACTCTTTATGCATTATGCACAGAAGGGACCATAAAAAAGAAGCTAAAATGCTTTAGTTTGACCCTCCCACGTGCTATTTTCAGGGACATCTTCTCATTCAGTGTTTCATGTTTAAGCGCAAGGCTCAATCAATCATTCAAGCCTTTGCACAACAACACTGAGCAACGTACCTGTGATTAAGCCTTGTTTCCAGTACAGAATTCAGACTGAAAGAACAGTCACTGAACAATAGCTGATTAAACAAGGTTCTTCTATTGTGCTATCACAAGGCCGCATTGACTTGCATATCTGAAAAAAAGTCAATGCTATTGCTTCTTATTGGAGACTAAAAAAGAAAAAAAGTGTTGTTCTCAGCCTCTGCTTCTGTATTTTGCATTTATCATTATGCATTTTATCATTATCTCTGCTTCTGTATTATGCATTTATCATTATGCATTTATCATTATGCATTTTATATACTGGACATGACTAACTTCTTGTTTGCTAAAAATATATTTATCCTTTCTGTTTATTGTGGAATGCAATATCCAAGGTCTACTAGCCCAGGCTACAGGGCAGACAAGGAAAAGTGCTCATATGCGAGACTGAATTTGAGTATTAATTATGTATTTTTAGCTGGTTGAGTTACATCCCTAAATGGATCATAACTGTGACTGTGATAATATTATTCCATCAATAATTCAAGATGAACTCCCTACAAAGAAAAAGAGCCCTTTGCTTCCCATAAGGAGATGAGAAATGATGGTGCATGGCTCAGCAAAACTTGGAATAACTGCATAAAATTTCACCTAATTTAAGCAGAAGAAGCTTCGTGGTTCTTCATGGTGGACAGTAAGATGCAAGACAGCATGCAAACAAGCCAATCATAAAAATAATGCCAGTATAGCTTTCAAGAATAAAGAAACCCTGGAAAGACTTTTAGTGCTAAGAAATGTGAAAATGCAGAAAACAAGGAAAATTGCTTTTCAAGGTTGCTGCTGAAAGAACAAAAAGCACACCATAGTATTATTCATATACATCATTTCTGACAGCAAATTAATTATTGTAGTTTTCCAAGATTTACCCATAGATAGAATGATAACCTGGGGGCAGAGGAGAGTTTTGTGCATTACCAACAATATATTATTTTTTTCAACAGAGAAAACAATTAAAGATTTTGCTGAAAAGGACATATTTTTCTCTGTGGGCACTGATGCCTCAAGCCATGGAAATATCAAAATGTTTACCACAGTTATTCATTTCTACACAGA